GAAGTCTTTGCCCACTAAAGCCCTGTAGAAAATTACAGGTTATTTTCTTGAACTCAGAATTTCAGTCAAAGTGCTTAAAAATATTTAAGATTGTATTAATTGAAATCAATTAAATTTGTATTACAAAAATGAGAAGAGGGCAGCTTAGTTTAAAAGGCTAGGATGAAGGCATACAAGTGAAAAAGGTTAGGATAATAGTTTTCATTACTAATTTGAATGAATATGGTTTTGCCTTTAAAAGTTTTGAATTATTGTAACTCTGCATGATGGCACTCTTGAAATAAAATACTTCTCTTAGATACATGTTTGGCTGACTGTGAGCATCCTTCTGATTACCGGGAGGTATTATTTCTTTCTGCTGAACAGTCATCTTTGTGGCTTTACAGTATAAACTTCTGTTCTTCAGTCAAGTTCTGTTGAGATGCTGTTTGTTAAAGATCAGTAAACATTGCCTAACTTGCCAATGAGTCATAGCGAATTTCTGACCCTTAGCCCACTGATGCCACTTTTTGCTTCCCTTTGAAAAAGCTGTCACCTGTAAATGTTTGACCCCATTCTCAGTTCTCCTTAGAAAATGTCAAATTTAAAAGGCTAGTTACTGTTTTGCTGAGTAAAGTTTAAATGAAGCATATAAAAATTGAGACCTTGATGTGCAAATGGGAAGATCTTTCCCTTGTGTCTGTATGTGATAGAAACAGGAATATAGTGAGTATGTCCTGTTCACCTTATTGGACCAAACAAATGAGAAGTTCCCCTTTAAAATATATTATTCTCTTAAAGCTAATTCTTAGGTATTTAAAACCAGTCTTAAAGTAAATAAACTCTTTTTCTATAGTATCTCTGTGCTTCTAGGTCACTCTGTGTAAATATTCTAGATAAGTTTAGAATCTGCTGCTGTGCCTAGTGTAAGATTCAAGATTTTTTATACAGAGGTCCCTCAGCTCCTTCACTTCTTTTATCAGCATTTGGACGTGTCCTAGAGTCTAGACTTTGTGTTTGAAAGAAACAAAAAAAGCATGTTGGTTGAATTACTGATGCTACTAAGCCAAACATCATTAATGATGAATTTCTCAGGTCGGTTGCAGCTAAACAGATGTTTTCCAATTCTTGACTTAACTTTCTTTAACAGAATTTTATTAAAGAATTATATGAGACTAAGCTTATGTATGTATTTCTTTTCTTAGAGGTAGTTAAGAATCATGAAGTATTTCATCTTGGACTCTGTCCTGTGTTCAGTGAAACATTTTAGTTAAAATGCATGGGAAAAGATATTTCATTTTAAGAATCAAGGCTATTGCTTAATAAATTACCCTGTTGTCTTAAATGGTCATAATATTCTTAATGTTTTAAAAATCTTGGAACAAATACAAAAATGAGATTATTGTGCCATAGAAACGAAAGGATACGTGAGCGTTTGTCTGCTTAATCAGCCCTAGCATTAAAACAGCCATGTCAGCATCCTTTTGTATATGCTTCTTGGCTACAGCACTGAAATAGAGCAGGACATGCAGGATTTTTCTCGGCTTCAGTAGCTGACCTATAAAGCTATTAATCACAGGTTTGAAAACTGGGACAGGGACATACAAATATTCTAATAATCTGTGCACTCAGGCATATATATGTAAAGTCCGTTTACTAGCCACGAGTGACCATCTTTTAAAGGCTATTTTATCTTTTTATAAAATTATGTAGTACTTAAGAAATGTAGTTACACTGGGAAGATATTTCACTGATGAATAGGTTTGAGTGGGACCTGAGCAAGCTGTTAGGTGAGGAGTCTAGGGAAAAGAGTATGCCACAAAGGCCTTCACTCTAGCCTCTCTTTGAAGACCCAGGGAGCAGGATTGGTGTACACTCAGGTTCAGTGTAAACTTGGGGAAGTAAAAACCTTTTACCACAGATCATTCTTGAAACCTGATGACAGTAGAAGAGACTGTAGGAAACAAGACCATCCTTGAAGGAAGGGTTATGTTACTCTAGTAAATATACTAGGATCCTTACAGGACATCAGATGGAAAAAGATTTGGTATCCAGTGCAAATTTGTAGGACGTTTGTGTCCCAGTTTTCAGTGGGTCTGGGATGCAAGAAGTTAAAGTGGATACTGTCTGTATGTTAGCTTTGCCTCAGGAACAATGAGTTGATCATTAGTAGAGGGGGGAGCAGAGAACCAATTGTTGGATAATTTTTGCTCCTTATTTTTGATGGTTGCTTTAAAAAAGAAACTGTTATATAGCATTATAGGAAGTTCCTGTTGTGCTAGAGACAGATGACATGCACTAGACTAATAATGCACTGTACTCGTGAAATACTGCTTATGTATTTTAAGGCTTGTCCATGTAGATGCCATTTCTGAGGGGTAGTGTGTTTTATTTGGAATAGATGTAATAATGTTGGGTTTGGTTTTGTTTGGGTTTTTTTTAGGGGGGGTGACAGACGGGGAGGAATGGACACCATAAACTAAAAACACATGAAATGGCCCTGGATAGGGAAATTGCTAATTATTGACACTTTTTTCCATACTTAGAGCTGAAGCTTGAATTTGGTTAACTAATATGAACAATGTAGTAGACAAATACCTATTAGGACTGCTTGTATTGAAGCTTTTAAACTTGCCAGATTTTAATGAGGTGTTCCTGCTAGAAAAATGCCACATGTGGTAAATAATCACTGTAAATGATGAATGTTGTTTAAGAGAAAAAAAAAAAGAAAAAAAAAAAGGACTAGCCAAACATGACAGAAAATAATTAACTGTGAGAATGGTTTCAGTATGTGCCAAGGATGTGTTCAAGATCAGGTTACCTAAAAGTTAGATTCACAAAGGGAAGACCCTGACCTGCTTGAACTACATGGCTATAAGGCCTTTTCCAGCTGTTCAGTTTCACATACAGATGTTAAAGTGTCATGTTTTTTACATTAAGTATTCTGGGTTACTTTAGTTCTTTGAAGCTAAAAAGTATCTGGCAAGAAACCCAGCACTAGTGAATATAATGACTGCTCAGAGTTAAAGAAAATACACCCCCAGCTTGGGCATTACCAGTGTTTATTCAGATCTAACATCCAGTTGGTACATTGTCTGTCTTTCTGAATTCTCAAAGGATTTAAAATGTGCTCACTGTATTAATCACAGAGCCAGGAAGGGGGAATATGTTGCCATGGTGGTTCTGCTCTCTGGTGAACAAGGAATAGGTTTTAAGGTTTGACATGTCACATCAGGGAGATTTCTCAGTTCCACTTTGCTGTCAACAAGAATACTAGGTTTTATTTTTGTAGTTGTTTAAAGGAAAAGGTCAGTCTGGATAGAGCAGTAATAGAATAATGAGCAGTGGCCCAGCCTCTCTCACTATGTGGTGGACAGTGAGCACTCTTGAAAGCAATGAAAAACCAAGAAGGCTGCAACTCCTTTGGCCTCTAGATAAACCAGCTCCCAAAGGATTTGCTATCTATTATGAAAATGACTGAATAGATACTGTTAAATGACGATTCTGTTCTTCAAATAATAAGTAATCTCCATTCTGGAGTAGATAATTTATTCCAACTACCCAGGTAGGAATTGTGATTAATATGCTGCATTAGCTGCTTGAGCAGATAAAATCTTAAGAGGTAAATATCTTGTTTTCATGCAGATAAGGCTAATAAGAAAATCAAAGGAAGATAAAACCCTGGAAAAGTGATGTAATGCATGGAACAAGTTATACCGTGTTGAAACTGTAAAGTCTGAACGAAATGTTATCAGACTCCTTTTTCCCAGGAGGTAGGGAGAAAGGCTTATAAACTGGGACACAGCAAGCTCCACACCTGTAATATGATGGAAATGGAACTGACCTGTTTTAGCAAAGAGAGTATGATGGCTCCTTTTTTTTTTTTTTGTTCCCTACATAGAGAGCAGTGGTTTTTTCTTTCTTCAGGATACCATGTGTCTCTTGGGTGGCATAGGCCACCATCACTGACAGCAGGTAGGGTTTTGAGTCTCAGATTAGTTGCAACAAACGAGATTTCTCTTGATGTTCTCCAGTAAACCAAATTCCATGCTTTTGTGTTCAGCAATCTATGCTCATTACTCATCTGATCTCAGCATCTTTTTCCAGAGTTATCCCAGACACGTATTTGTCAATGCAGCAAATCCATTTCTTTTCTGCTATTAACCTCCTCACTGAGAAGTTCACACTTTCATTTTAAGATGCATAATAAAGCATTCAGGTCATACAGAACACTAAGATGGGTGTTGATAGTAGTAACTAGAATGAATACATGTAATCTAGAAATTTCTTCTCCCGCAAATGACACTAATGTTCTTGCCCGCAGTAGATTTAATTTTGAAAAGTATATTAATAAGAAATTAGTGAAATAGAGGTTGTTATTTTCTTTCATTAAAACATCGGTATATCAATACGCTGTTATTTTCTATATGTACATGACATCTGGATGAGACAATTCCAGTGGGAGTCAGTTGTCAAGTAGAATTTTGTTTTAAATTTTTTTAAAGTTTGGCAATCACGCTTCTATTCTTGATTAAAATTAAGGTCTTGTTTCTCCATTTTAACTAGCTTGCATTTGGCTGAATATATGAGTCATTAGTCTTTTCCTTTTTAATATTTATTTGGTTATCAATAATCTGTTTGGAAATGTTCTGAAATATGTGATAGAACTCTTATTTCAATATATCTTTATGGGGGACCTATAGTTTGGTTTTGATGGTCAGTTGAATGCCCTTTAAGCTGTGTAGGTTTCTGCCATAACTGTAAATAGATTAAGTACTGCACTGGCAGTATACAACTTGAAACAGAATTTGGAGACTCTAATTTTGACTGAAAAAACCTGTATCTCCCATTTTACCCTTTTTATGTATTACATTAATGCATTATTTTCAAAATACAGTATATAATTAAACTGTCAGGCATTTTATCTTTCTGTGGTTATAGAGGTCGTTGAGAAATGAAACAAAAAACAGTGATGAAGTACAGTAAATTTGCATGAATTATTCTCCTTTCTTTTTTCATAGATATTTGGGCAATTGGCTGCATATTTGCTGAACTGTTGACTTCAGAACCTATATTTCACTGTCGTCAGGAGGACATCAAAACAAGTAATCCTTTTCATCATGATCAGCTAGATCGCATTTTCAGTGTAATGGGATTCCCTGCAGGTAATTTGTTTTCATTAAAGTGTCAGACGTAATGCTACAGAGTTGATTTTTTTACTAAAGGAGATGACTAGTTGTGTAGGTACGAAGAAGCTGTCAGTTTGATGGATTTGGAAATCCTGACAGTTACAGAACAGTATACCTGGCCAACAGAGTCAAACAACTGCTGTAGATACTCCTTTGTGTGTATTACTTAACCTACACTTTCAGAATTGTAAATGCTTCTTCTTTTCCCCCCACCAAAGATAAAGATTGGGAAGACATAAGGAAGATGCCAGAATATCCAACTCTTCAGAAGGATTTTAGGAGAACAACGTAAGTGATGATCATGCAACAACAGTTCAGTGAATGTAGCAGAAGATGGACAGAAATTGGCTCCTATCCCCTGAGTTTATTGGAGGGAAGGGGGAGTTTTGGAGTTTTTGGGTTCTAATGCTGTGACAGCTGTCCTATTTGAATTAGCCATTTTGCTTGAATGGTGTTCTCTCCTTCAGCTGCTTGTTAAAGGCATCAGCAGAGTGGCCTCCTCATTTCCCTAGAAGGGGGTTGTCGTAAGTGCCATTTAATCTATGGCAGGCATAGACAAATGAGCTTGCTTAAACCACCTCTATTGGCTGTTAAGGAGAACTTCATTCATTTTGTGTGAGAAAGGATAGGGAAACACTTCCCTGGTCCTTTTGACCAGCTTTTTTTACTGTGAAGACAATAAAGCAGCGGACAGAAATTTCTAAAGAGAGTAATGTGTTCAATAGTTTGTGATGCAAAGCCTATCTGGGATCTGAGACTTTTACACTTTTAAGAGTTTCCTGGTGCTTTGGCTAAATTATTCTAGTGGTGGTGATAGATCAGAGGGTGTAAGGAACAGCATCTGTTGTAAAGCAGAGGACATGGATTCAGGAGTTCTAGATTGTTTCCAGCTCTGCCATGGATTCATTACACTGGCTTTAGACAAGATATGAAGCTTATCTGTGCACAAAGCTTCTTTCTTAAAAATGACTGTAGATGATTTCTGGATTTATAGATTAAAGACGAAACACAGGTCAGACATATCTGAGGCATTTTTGAGCTTGGAACTATAAAGAAGACGGTGTGGTTTGCTGCAGGTTGGGGTGAGGGAGACAGAATGGTGAACAACTGCTTTGCCAGATTGCAGTTGGAAACAGTAGCTTAGATGTACTGTTACGAACTGCTGTACACTTTGTGGCAGAAATGCTTTAGAAAACTAGAGTATAAACTTCAAGTTGAGTTTCTCTGTCATATGCCCATGTCAAGAGCTTATCCATACCCTATAGAAGTTGCATGTTCCATGGAAATAATCTGTATGCAGTTGTTATTCCTGTTGTGAAAAGCACACTTTGTGTGCAACTGCTTGATAAATATCTGACATGTTTTCTGATAGCAGTTCTTCTTACAGTTCGTTTATTAAGGACTAGTAAATATTCTTGTGATCATTTGGTACAGTTCCATATTCTTAATGCTGTATTATTTCATGAATGTCTTTGTTTAACTGTATTTTTCAGATATGCCAATAGCAGCCTCATAAAATACATGGAGAAACATAAAGTCAAGCCTGACAGCAAAGTTTTTCTTCTGGTAGGTACAACTTTAAAATCACTGTGGTTATAAGAATGAAATGCACTTCTCATGGTATTATCTGTGTCTGTTGTTCAATCTCATTCTAATGAACACTGATGTTAAAGCTATTTATCACTAACTGGCAATTTTTGAGAGGTGTTTTCTTCACATACACACACATGCTTGAGGGTGTATTTAAAGTGCTGGTATTGAAGATCTGAAGGTCTTACCTAATTATGATCTGCAAGGCACTCATATACCCAGCCTTGCCCTTATGTCTGCTGTGCAAATAAGGTAGTATTATATCCCTTGATTCCATGTTGTTTCAGAGAGCTAGAGAGTTTTGTGAAGGAAGGAAAGAGTAAAGGAGAAATTTAATTATTTCCTCTAGTAATTTTTTTTCTTTTTTTTTTTGGTTTGCCTTTTTTCTTTTTCTTCCCTCTGATAATAGTCCACCTCTGTTCTGTGGGTGATTCCAAAAAACATCCATAAACATTTATTTGCTGGTTATCTAGTTGAGTCATTCACCGTAGGTGAATATATGGTTGCTCTAATACAGCATCATTTCTAGATGCCTCTGTGATGAGTTTAGTGCTGTCTAAATTTAGGAATGAAGTTCAAAGTGACTTTGCTAGTGCTGTAAAAGTGGAGTCTTTCTAATGAGGCTGTTAGTGCAGCTTGAGTCCTAGTGGTCCGTTCTCAGTTACGGATTCAGCATAGTAGTCTTCTCTCTGAGTCCTGGCAAAGACTTGTTAGTAGCTGCCAGATGATGACACAAATAGCTGTGGAAACAGAATAGGTTTGTCCAAGTGGGTGGAAGGGAAGCATTCACATAAGAAGCATGAGACTTCAAGAAAAGATAATTAAAATCTGTTAAACTCAACTTACTGGGCACACATTGGAATCATCTGGAGGAAAAGTCTAACTGAAAAGATTATCACTGTAAGAGACATTGTTAGCACCTGAATTTCCCCATTTTCCTACTAAAGGTGGAAGCCACCAGAAAGCCTGGTGGAAAGTCAAAGAAGCAAATGGGTTGCTATCAGCTTACGTGTCTAATTCATTAAGGCTATGAACACTAAATTAAGAGTCATTTTCAGTGGGTAGGCTACTTTTTCAGGAGAAATATTAACCAGATGTCTAAAGTACACAAAACCAACCATATTTTGCCACCCTGTGGCATATTATATGTTTATATATATATAAATAAAGGAACTTTTCATGACGGAGAAGTGGTGAGACAAAGTTATAGGGTGACTGAACAAATAGATAGGTGTCTATCTGAATTCCCCGGTATGATTGTGAGAATGAGAACTGATTCCAAAAGGATAAGGGCTCTTTCTGAAGATCATGAAGAAGACTTAGTTCACTTAGCAAGGTAGGTTCTCGTAGTCAAATATTTCTCACTGTTCATGAATGGGGATGAATAAGGGTGGTTTTAGTGATCAGCCATGGAGATGGAGTCTGGTTTTAAATAAGTCGGTCTCCCAGAGCTCTGCATAAGAATGCCCAGGAACATGGACAACTTTCTTGATATCTCACTGCTGCACTGAGGAGGTCCATGTACCTGAATTGCCACTCTTTAGACTTTGTGCTAATGAATACAGAAAGTGTGGCACATAGAGAAAACAGGGCATCAAGTACACCAGCGCAATATAGCAAGTGATTCTTCACAAAGAGGAAGATACTGTGTCACTGTGCTGATTGACATTGAATGGTGGTATCTACATGAAGGGCAGAATATTTTCCATCCAGGAAGAGGCATCTGTTTTTGCTGTCCTGGAAAAGTTATTTATATCTGTCATGTCAGGCCAGTAGAATCTGAGAGCGAGCAATCTTAAGAGCTGCTGAGAAGTATGAGACTGTTGATGAAGTCCAGTCTCAGGCTTTCTGTATTGTGTTAGCAGCAAATTATGTCCAGACATTTTTATTCACTTTCCTAGGAGCAACAGAAGCTACAGAAAACCTGACTTTGTCAAAGAAAGTTGGTTCACGGTAGCATCACTCATGGGCAGGAAAACTCATTTGAAGTGATACCATATGTGGTATCATCTGGAATGGGCAAATAGGTTATGTTCTTGGGGGTGGAGGGGGATTACTAAAGGGATGAGCAAACTATTAAAGGGTGTAAGAGATCTTTAGATCTTCTGCTGTGGTACATTAGCCTTATATTTGAATGACGAAGAATACAGGTCATGTTTGGAGGCAGGTTGTGATACAGCGTTGTCTATCTGAGAACTGAAAAACTGGAGCGTTCTCTTGAGTAGTACTGTAGCAACCAGTTCTGAGGAAGGAGTCCAGGGGGCAGAAGGTGATGTCCTGTACTCTTCTGTAAGTGATGACAGCTGGTACTGGAGACCAGGAGTGGCCTTATACAGAACATGAATGTTTGTCTCTGGAGTCATTGCGGAGGAACTGGGGAGAAGAAACCTGTATCACCTGTGGTGGTGTCACAAGCCACTAACACTGACAGTAATTTTACCTGTAGCAAGAGATGGTGATTTGGCATAAAGGTACTGAATACCAGAACTGTTGTCTATACTTACTGAATCATGTGAGGTCACTATGTAACAGCACATCAGAAGTTGAATTTTTTAAGATACACAGGAAAAGTAGGGCTGAGGGTTATCTGACAATACAAAACAGAGTAAGTAAGTGTACCATGCGAACTCCAGATGGCTGCAATCCCAAAACATCTTGAGGTATATTTCTGTACAAGCAGCCAGAATCAATTCAGGAGTTGGTTGCAAATGAACTGATAGGTGGAGACAGCCAAAATGGCTCTTTGTTGTGTTTTCAGTCTGTTGAGGTCCATAGCCCACAAAATATGGGAATAAGGAGGGGTGGAAAGAAAGTGGCAAAAGTACAGAGAATTTTGAGACGTAATCTACAAGGTAGGGTTAACTTACAACTATTGACAAAGGAAATACAGGGAATCAGTTGATGAAGAGATGAATGTTTTTACTGAGGCTGTTTACTGTACCATCTATATAGAATATAGAATTGTTATCAGATTTTTTATTTATTGGACAGAAAGCCCGAAACACCCATCTAAAATCACATTTTTTTGCTCAATACCCAGGGAACTTATGTTGGAGGCCTGGAAGATAGAGTTTGAGCTAAGATGCCCTTTGCAGGAAGAATTTTATTTTCACTGTTGGTATGATTTAAGACAGTATTGTGTGAGACTAGGATACTGTATGATGTAATTTGAGCCTCAGATTTCCTCCTGTGAGTTTATCAGAATGTGATAAATAAGTACCTATTTAAAATAGCATGTTATGCCTCGGATTCCTGTTTTAAACTACTAATATACTGTAATCCTTTTATAGCCTGCTGCAGTCATCAGGCTTTTATAGCCTGATTCCAGCTAATAAATTTATTGTTGCTTTCCTCCTAGCAAAGAAGAAAGGTTACTAGGAAGGGTCTGTTCCTCCTCTTTCTCATTTCAATACCAATTAGAGTGGGACTGGGAGCTGTGTGAGTGGCAGAGAGCTCTGACTCTGGAATGTTGCCAGTGTGAGAAATGAAGATTTATTGTTTCTGTCCCTAAAGCGATATTTGAGAATCCTGGTCATGTTCATTTTCTTCTGACACTTTTTTCCTGTTGTGTCAGCAGTACAGAACAGTATAAAAGCCATACATGTGCCACAACAAAACACCATTATTTAGAAATGATGCCTTATGAATTTGTAATACTGAATTTAGTGTCACTTTAGCACAGTGATTCAACCTTAGCAATTAATATTGCCTGATAGACTTAACTGTATGTCTTATGTGAGAAGTGCTTCACAGCCATCATGCTTTGATGGATGTGCATTCTAATTCTTGGGAACTTCACTGAAAAAACAATGCTAATTTAGGCTTGTCTGGACAAGCTACAAATAATCTAACAATCCACAATCCAAGACATGTAAGTCATAGTTTGAAAAATGTTACTTTGATAAACTTTTCCTATTTTTAATGTTTTGCTTTGCAGCTTCAGAAGCTTCTTACTATGGACCCTACAAAGAGAATTACCTCAGAGCAGGCTTTGCAGGACCCCTACTTTCAAGAGGATCCTCTGCCTACATCAGAGTATGTATTCTTTCTTCTGTGCTCTTCAGGGGTGTCTTTTTCCTTCTAAATGCTAATCCCTGAAACAAGATGACAGCTGAAAAATTCAAGTTTCTACCCATATCTGCAAGACGTAGTAGCTCAGGCATGCTCAGTAGAAACGATTACAGTAGTACTGAAGTGTCTGTAGCTACTGGTGCCAGAACTGAGTGGTCATGGACAGTGACCCAGTACCTCATTAATGGTGTAATTGTGAATGTACTACCAAAGCTAGTGTGACAGGATTATTGCAGCATTTAGAGAATCCATCTGTGCCCTGTTCTGTTCTGCCTTGCGCAGCCTCACAGAGCCCTGTTCTGCATTGCCTGGTTTCATTACACATCTCCCTAGGACTACGACAGTTCTCTGACCTGCAAACCTTTCTCATGCCCTCTTGCACATGGTAATAATATGAGCAGAGGAAAGTAAAGAGATCAATGACTGCCTAAAATCCCACAGGTCCCTTGTTCAGAAGGCTTGAGAGTGCAGATTTTATATCTCTCCATATTTTATTGTCATTAGAAATTAAAATTATATATTCAGTTCCTACTGGCAGACTTTCCTCTTCCAGTTTCTCTTCCCAGTTTTCAGAAGCATGATGGTTGATAGCATTATGATCTGTAAGAGCTGGATGGAGGGAGATTTGCACCGTTGCTTTCACTGCTTCCTCAGCTAGCAGGCAACACTAGAAGGAGGGAACAGCCACTGGCGTGCAAAAGGAGTCTAACTGAGATTAGTTGTTGTCAGGGTTGGTTTTCTTTTCCTTCTTCTTCTGTTTGGATAAGCTGAACACTGCATAGCAGCTGGATTTGTTTACACACTTTAAAAAATCATGTCACTCTGTATTCTGAATGCTGGCACAGAAACCTAAGAAACCGATACTGGTCAAGATCAACCAGTAATTTTCTATTTAGTGTTTATCTGATACTATCCTATATAGAGCTATAACTCTTCATGGATTACAAGATAACATTATGATAAAGTCTCTGCCATAAACATTAAGTAAGGAATGTTCCAAATCTCATTAGCCAACTGAATTTAAAAGCTATCTTTTTTTTCTCTAAAAAAGAACTGAGAAGCTAATTGAAAGTAACTTTGCAGTTGTGATTGGCAAATATATTTAAGCCCGCTGTAAGCCAAGGCAGGCTTATAAGACATAAATGCTTTTTGGATCAGGCCTTTTATTCAGTGAGCCATGCATGTTCCAACTAGGTGTTATGGAACTTCTCACACTGTGTTTGTTCGTTTTGCCATCTGGATCAACAAGTGGTCTTTCTGACATTCGGGCATGCTCAACCATGCCATGATTTCTAAATGATGACCTTGTGCCAACAGCAAAGAGATCTGACATTATGATCAGCGCCTAGTTGCTAGTATCTGCTGTTGTCTTGGGTGCTCATACTGCCACTTAGGGAAACAGGACTCATGAAATGCAATAAATTAAACTGTGTTATATTCACTTGTTTTCAGTACAGCATTAAGTAAATATATGTCGTATGTATATATTTGTGGAAGTGTTTAATCTTTACTGTGTTTCAGTGTATTTGCTGGCTGTCAGATTCCATATCCTAAAAGAGAATTCCTCAATGAAGATGAACCTGAAGAGAAAGGGGATAAGGTATAATAATTTTATTTTTTTTTAACCTTTAAGTACACAGTGAGAATGAATCATGGTGCTACTAAATGAAAACTAATGAAATGTGAAGAGTTAACCAAGAATGTGTTTTCCAGGCAAGGGTCTCTCAAAACTGCTTCCCAGACAGATTATCAGGTAGCTTTGGAGTGTTTTAGGCAGTATCACCAGCACAGTTTGCCCTGACCTGTGGGGAATGAGCTAGATGGATTGTTTGGTCAGCAGCAGCCTACTTTCAGCTGCCATCATTCCAAGAGGAACTTGCTACCTCCTCCTGCGTTGCATGATGAAAATACATTGTGATCATAAGAAAAGAATGGCATTTCCATTGTATGACTGGCATACATCCAGCCATTTGAAAGTTGATGGCTGTCAGGGTCGCAAGTAAATAGTGGCAGCCTGCTTCTGGCACTACATCAGAACATTTAATCCATCTGCACAGTTTCCTGATCATGTTTTAAGGGCCCTCAGACAAAGGAGTAATAAGGAGCATGAACTGTTCTGGTAACGACAGTCTGCCCTGAATCCTCTCTTTCCCATAGCCCCAAAGACATAAGCAAGTACTTGTTTGTGTGCATAGTAAATTTTGGCATGTTCGCAATATAATCTGACCTGCTTTGTGCATGTAGCTCAGCTGTGCTACGTGACTGCGGTGATTGCCCCATCATGCTGTGAAGGCTTTACAATGGTGCTATAGTGCACGGAGCAGCTTGCTATTTTCACTTAGAAGTGTACAGTAAGACACCACCTGTAATGTATAGCTACTAAAATGTGAAGGAAACAGCATTAAATGGTGATTATCTGAGGACTACAGGAGAAGGACTGTTAGTCTTTTGGAGAAACCATTTGACTACATGCATCTTCTGTTTTCATATTTTTCTGAATAACATGAGAAACTAGCTGAGTTTAGAAGTATGACTATCACAGTACATTTCAGGCAGCAAATTTTGTTTTCAGAACAGACACTGTAGATTTTTCTGTACTGAGAACAAATGGTAACATCCTGGATTTTTGTGTCCAGAGAGTTTTTGTTTTTTTTAAAAAAGAGGAAACAGTCACCTAAGCAAAAATACCCCCCTCCCCGATCTGATTGTAATTTAGTTACTAGCTTTGCTTCAACTCATCTTCAAAACAAGAACAAATCTTATGAATTGAAATTACTCTGCCTTTTGTTAAGTCAGTGTATTTAAAAGTAAATATCTGCCTTTTTCCTGGGAGTGTTGGGGGGGGAAAACAATGACATATTTATATTCAAAACAACCATTATATAAATGGTCTTTGAAATTGTTGGGGACAGTCACGTATTGTGCACACTGCAAATTAAACTTCTGTGAAACCATTTAGGGAACACAAGTCACGCATTACCCATTGAGTGTGTTCCCACAGTGTAGAAAATGTATAGGTAAAGGATATTCCGAAAGTTGGATCTGTGCCATGTTCTGTTTCTTTATGATGTTGCAAGTGAAAGGATTTGTATTTCTTTTTAATAGTGTTAGTTTGTGGTTTGTTTTTAAAACTATAAATATCCGTATAGTCCTTTGGAAACCTAGCGATGTTCTCTGTGTTTATTTGGAACTTGCATCTGAACTGAATAACCTTTAATGTAAGCATCTGTACTTTGAAATGGTTAATCTTTAGTCAGAAAAGCTAAAATGAGTTTGTAAAACAAACTCAAATTGTGTTAGGCAAGTTTCCACTGGGTTCCTTTGGAGGTAGGACTGGAATTTCATTTTTGTAATTTGTGCCTGAGACTTGACACATGGTATTATGTTGCTAACTGTAGACCTTTCAGAAGTTTATTTATTTAGGGACCACCATGAACTAGACTGACCTGAGGACAATGTTTTTGCTGGCATAAGCTGTTTTTGTACACTAAGGAGGTGCAGCTAGAACCGCACCAGAGCCTGCAAAGTATATCCCAGTCTTTACCCAGGCAGTAGCAGTAGTTGCTGCACAGAAGAGCAAGCTCAGAGTAGTCAGGTAAATTTTGTGCTAATATCCAAAGTGCAAAACATAGGACCTAGGACGAACTCTTGCCTTTAACTGTGAAAGTTCCTGCAATATTTGTTTACGCATAACAAGACTGCATTTTTCAGCTCTCACAGTAGCAACCGCCTCATTTGCAGACGAACAGCCCTATGAAAACACAAATTTTGGAATTCTAGCACAAATACCACCTTAGTTGTTTGTGTAAGTGAAGTTCAAACCATTATGAAAAGATAAATTGCTTCTTAAAATTATTTTTTTTTACAAGCTAGCTTCATTAACTGTTAAAATTATTGAAGTTCAAATCTCCTGGGAAACAGAATCTGACTTGAGTGGGATCTGAGGACTGTAACCAGGAGGATACGTTATTGGTTTTGCTAAATGTGAAATGGTACACACAAGCCACCTGCGAGTCCTTGAGGATCCTTTGTAATCTTAAATGAATACATCATTACAAATTTCATCTGATTGTATCTTGGGAGACCATTGTGATTCATGGCATAGATACAGATCTTTTATGTCATTTATCTGAGGTAACTAAATGCCTTTTGCTGATCAGGGGCATCAGGAATTTTCTGCTGGTGGCAACTGGTTGTCATGATTTCTGAGAAACTAATAGAGGTTTTTATAAAAGCATGCCATACTAAAGCTTTGATAATTATATATTCTAGGGGAGAAAGACTATCCTGAAATATTCCCTAGAGTGTATTGGGGGGAGGGTAATAAGGCTTTTTAATTTGAGCCATGACAATTGTAATTTTTTCTCCATGATGAACAAGTGACATACCTCACATTTGGAGAGAAATGGCTTTTCTCTGCAATTCTCTTATGTGCTTTAGTGCTCCGATGGAAGAGCCATCCCTGGTGTTTGAAAGCAAATAAATGGGTGGTCTTTCCTTGTAATTGTCTAACCATGGAGGGCAGAGTTGCACCCTGCTGTTTTTCTAACCTTCCTTCCAGTTCCCTAATACTCTTTCTAATCTGCAGCCCTCTGAAGCCAGAAGAATACAATGTCTTTGGCTCTTGTTTTCCCCTTCTTAACTTTTTTCACCCCTTCGTGGCCCTTTTCTCTTTGTCTTTCTTCCTGCTAGATCCCAGTGTCATCTTAATTGTCTGGCTTCCCTTCCCTTGCCAAATTCTTCCTTCAGCTGTTTCCTTCTCTTTTGTCTTCAACTATTTGTCTCTGGTCAATTTTCACTTTTCTGTTATTTCAGTAAGATTTTCTGACCCTGTATGTAGTGCACTATGCTGGACCGTATTCCTAGTATACCACTCTAACAAGGTACCTAAAAGCACAGGAGGGCAAAACCGTAATGAAACCTGTTTCTGGTTCTACTACAGATTTTCCTCACAACCTGGAAGAAATTACATAACTTCTCTGGTCTCAATTTGCTTACCTTTCTGGCAGTAAAGCTGCAACCTCCATCGGGTTATTGTAACATGCCATTTGTGAAAGTTTGAAAAGTAGTTTTGATTCTGAGTGAATGAGGCTGTTAAAGCTCTTAGAATAATTTACTGTGGTTCACCACATGTGCCACTGAGCACTCGTGAAATTTTGGGGGCTTTGATTCAGTTCATTAGGCAATTACTGCTTTATAAATTGTTCCTTCCATGCTCCTCTCTGAGAGCTTGGGTAGCTGTAGGAGGCACTAGACTGTCCTTCCAGTTTTACTCTAGCTTGCTTTGTTAAAAATACAAAATGACCACAAATGGGATACCCCACAAAGTGTGCGAGAGTGTACTGAGGACATGTTCCTCCTGACATGCAGACTTGCTGTATTTTCCCACTGAGCAGGTGGGTCTGCCTCCTTCTCCACTGGCACAGGGGCTCGCAGGGCCATAAGGCTCCCAGACTAGCTCAGAGCAAGTGATGGTCTGTGTTGCTTTTTCCCTAGAATCAACAGCAGCAGAATCAACATCAGCAGCAAACAGCACCTCAGCAGCAGCCGCAGGCAGCACCGCCGCAGCCGCAGCCGCAGCAGCAGAACAGCACCCAGACCAATGGGACGGCCGGGGCCACTGGCGCGGGAGGAGGGGGAGCAGGTGCGGGGCTTCAGCACAGCCAGGACTCCAGCCTCAACCAGGTGCCTCCCAACAAGAAACCACGCATAGGGCCTTCAGGCGCTAACTCAGGCGGGCCTGTCATGCCTTCAGATTATCAGGTACCTCTTGAGTTTTTGCTGCTTCTGATACTGTAGGGCCAAAATGTCAGTTTTCCCCTTCCCCAGTGCAAGAATAAATCACATTTTAATGAATTTCCCATGTAACTTCAGCAGGCATGCTGCGATATATTAGACAAAAATGTGGGCTTAAAGCTTTAAAGTAAAAAGGTTATGTTCTGTGGTTAGTAATTTTCAGTAAAATACCAGTATGAGTCGTATTTGCTGTACCCTGTGAAGTGTTGAGGACTAGTCCACTCCAGGAAAGCACTTAAACATATGTCTAACCTTATGTTCGGGAGTAATCTTGCTGAAGCTAGTGGAACTATGTCATGCCTGTAAATGCTGCATGAGATCAAGTTTAGGATACTCTTCTCTTGGCAGTATTAAATTCTGTGTAAGTAGCAGAAGCAAAGTTAGAACCAGGCTCTCGCATTTGATTCCTGCTTCATTTTACCTGGTATCATCACATGTATGGAGTGGTTCTGTAGTTTATTCTAGCATCTTGCTAAGTCTACTTCTAATGTTAAAGAAAAAGAGCATGGTAGCATAGGAATGATGTTTTGGTTCATTAGTATGATTCATGCTGAAGTAGGGCATAAAGACAAGCATTGTTCCCAATGTGACCGATGTTGAATAGCTTTCATGTTTTCCAGTACAGTAGCATTCATGAGTAAAAGCATGAAATATTTTTGGATTTGCATATTTGTGTTTGCTTACTGGAATTGTGTTTTCCAGTGAAAAAGTGACTTACACTAAATACAGAAAGCATTGAACTTACCAGGATCTTCGATACTTGAGTTTATACTTGCTGGGATAGTAACGAGTCGAAAGCAGAATAAGAAAAATGTAGATATTAAGGGTAGATTTAGAAGATGTTAGGGACTTTGTTTGCTAGTAGCCTTCAAGAGAATCCCACCGTGAAGAATGGTCTTGTCAGGCTGCTTTAAACTTAAAATAAGTAGCTTTTTAAAAAAAAAAAACAGCTCTGGAGTTGCCTTGACTGGAGTTGCCTCCAGACCTCCACAGACAATTGATTTCTCAGAGCCAGACATTTTTCTCCCATTTCTGTCTCATTCTTTTAATTACAAATGATCATGAAGGCATTGAGGGCAGTTTAAGGGTAAGGACAAATAGGTTTCTTTTTTGAAGAGTTCCAGACAGGCTTGAGGTCTGGACAGATCACTACAGCTGTCTGACTACACAGTATTTATGGCTGGCCTGGTTTGGTCTGTATTTTGAGGACTGGTGTGCCGCATTTGATATACCCGTTATAGAATCCTTATACAGCTCTCTGAATTGTTGGCAAACTTCCCCCTTATAAGTTGTTAGCATTCTAGATATCTTTCTTTTTTCTTTTTTTTTGATAGATAGATAATTATTTTTTACCTGTATGGCGCTTTCCTTCTAAAGTTTAACAGCACAGGCATCAGAATGATGATCTGTATGTTTCCTTTATGTCACTCACTAAATTGTATGGTGTGATTATCCATTTTTACACTTGCGTTTGGCTATCTGCCCTTAAATTCTAGTTGACTGTCTTCTGTTCCAGAAAGGAATGTCTGCAATTTGTCCAAGTCTGACTTTGTTAAAAATTCTCTTCTGTGAACAAAAATAAGCATGAGCAAGTTAATACATTCTTGTTGTCTTATGGCATTGATTTAACTCCATTATATCTTATTCAGAAGTATGAAGAAGATTCCGTCTGAGTTTCATTTAGCCTGTGATTTAAAGTCTCCATTGAAATTTTTTGTAGTTCACCAACTTCAGTGTATGTTGCTTCCACAACTGTCAGTGCAAATTCCGTGTTGAATTTTACTGAGCCTTCCTTTTGCGACCTTGGGTGTTCTGCTCAGCTCACTGTGCTAATGTTTTTCATCCAGAATTAGTTCCTATAAAGTCATAGAATTTATCACAATTCTTTTTCTTTTATGTTAGAAGTTGCTAAAGCTTTCAGAATTTTGAGACAAATTTCAGTATTCCAGGTTTCAGACACTGTTAATCTGACCATGCAGGCCAAGTATAATCTGATTTTTAACAGCATACATGCTGCTGGAAGACATCTCTTCCAAAGCCAGTGTGCTGAGCTGTTATCTCCCAAACGGACCTTTTCAAACAAGTGAAGTTACTCTATACAACTATTAGTTATATTAATAGTTATATTAATGTTATATTCCTACATTAATATCATATTCCTACATTAGACAGAACACAGAAAAAGCAATGTGATATTTTTGAGGTTTAGTATGTTTTACAATTTGTATAAAATTAAAGATATGAAGCTATATACAGAAAAAAAGGGCAGAAGTTTTAAACTCCCTGAACTTTAGGTTCCTGCTCTTCATCATCCAGCTGAAAAGTTGTCAGGAGGCTTTCACAGCTTACCTGGTTGGGATCTAATAGTTAGATGAGATCACTGACTGAGGTACTGCCTTCACTGAGTAGATTCTTGATCTGCGGAGGATGTGGTGTTCTTACAGGCCCACTGTCTCCATGGAATTTCCATTCAGAACTCAACCTTCTCCAGAGGCTTTCTGTAACTCTTAATCCTGATATTTAATCAGAATGTAGGTTCTTAACACTTTTCCTAGATGATTGCTGTTGGGCACAGTCTTGCTGATGACCCTTGGAAACAGCCAAGTACACCCATTAACTAGACAGTGAACAGAATTTTGCTGAATGGCTGCCTGACCCTGCTCTTAACTTGGCCAGAAGCAAACTGTTTGCTGACTGCAAATGGTTTTGGGGTTTTCTGGTAGACTCTCTTGTGGGTTGGGGTGGGGTTTACCTTACTGGAGAGTCTTCTAGCCATCGAGCAGTACTTCTCAGGCAAAGTGATTTTGCAACTTATATTAGTTTGCAGCTTTGCATTATTGCAGCTCATTATTAATTCTGGAAGGGAACGGATATGGTAATAAAAGGCAAATTCATCAGACTATAGGCAGCAAATGATCCATGAATTTGGCTTGCTGAGATTGTGGTCCACCCAAACATTGAAGGGGAAAAAAAAAGCACTCAGGAAAATTAATGTTAGGTTATTGCACAAACACATGCCCATCTTTAAGCATTTGTCCTTGCTTCCAATAGGTAAGGCAGTAGAATGAAAGACTCACCTAAAATTATTTTATTTTATCCTCCCGGACGTTTTTCATTTAGATTAATTGAGTAGCTCTTAAGTCATGGTTGTCTTTTTCTCAGGAACAGAATAAACTGTTTCTCCGTAATGTTTCATATTACCTGTCTCAAAAAGGACGCTTGTGGCCTTAGCAGTTTGTTTTTCCACTTACAATGATAGACGTAAATTTAAGCAACAGCTGAATTTTGAAATGGAGTCTGCCCTCTCTTGTGTCTTGTGTATTTTTCCTTCAAAAAATGGGTGTGTACATGCTGTACTTCTAGGTGTCTGCCAGTGACCTCGTGTATTTTGTGTGCTGTGTTAAGGCTGATTGCAGATCAGATTGATTACTTGTTTTATGGGACCTTAAATAGTAACAGTGTTTAGTCAGCTTCTCCAAGAGTCACGTTTTAATGAGCTTTGGGGAGGTTAAAAGTTTCCTGAGTTGCATAGTCCTAACAGGCTGGTTTTCATTCCCATGTTCCCGCTTTCTTTTCCTGCAGCACTCCAGCTCACGCCTGAGTTACCAAAGCAACATTCAGGGATCTTCTCAGTCCCAGAGTACAATGGGCTATTCCACGTCGTCTCAGCAGAGCTCCCAGTATCACCAATCTCATCAGTCTCACAGGTACTGAGAGGGCTAACAGGCTGACTCAAATGAATGGACTAAAAGCCAGAAGACTCCAGCAATATGAAGTTCATAACAATGAGAAGAACCAAAAATACAAACTTATGATGCAGAATTGAATTCATGATGACAAAAGGAAAGCTTCACTCACTGAAGACTCTCCCCATATCCCCCCCTATCCCTCTATTGCCATAAAGGAGATTCTCGTGAAGTTTTCCTTCCTCCCTGCCCTTGCATGTGCTCCATTGTGGTTACTCTAATGAACCCTTCTGATCTGAACCCAGCACTTAACTTCTTTAACCTTTGGAATTTTGAAGGATTCCTGGTGCACCTTCCTTATGCTGTAGTGATTGCCATAAATCTGTCTTTTCAATCTCTTTGATGGGATTTTAAAGTTTTAAAATCTTGAACTCCCAGGCTTTCAAGCTTGTATATAATTAGTTTTATACTAGGCAAACCAGTTTAGCTATACAGGTATATTGCACCTTTTTAAAGCACTATGTTATTTTCACAGGATATTACTGTTTTGCTCATGGATGTCAAGAACAGCAAGATTTTACTGTTCCAGAGTATTTTACTATTCTGTTTTTATTAGTCTAGTTTTCAGGCGAGGTCTTAAAAATAAAAAATTTAAAAAATAAATAAAATTTAAAAAAGAAAAAGGAAAAAAATAAAAAAACCACCCAAGTCTCTGCAGCGACAAATATGCTTCATGCTACTGGACTGAACGCCAAACAGAAGATTGCTGATATTTCTTAACTCATTCACATTGAATTCTTGAAATCACAGTGATCGTGCTCTGACTAGTTTTAAACTAAGCGTTATTTTAAATGAAACCAGGACAGTCACATAAAAAGGAGATGCTTTCAGGATCTGTTGGAACAGAAGAATGGAATGTCTTCCCAGGCTGGACACCAAAATAGTCACGAAAAGGTATTTACTGCCCTCAAGTCTCAGTAGGAATGTGGATGATGGGCTTGTTTTTCTGTTAAGCAGCTGATTAATGTATGTGAGAGTTCTATAAATTTAGCTTTCTTTCACATTCCTGAGTCAGTTTTCTAGATGTAAAGGTGACAGAAATACTAAGACTTGCGAAAACAAATGCATTTAATCATTTTATGTTAGAATTCATAATTAAGAAAAATTATTGTGCAGTTTGAAAAGCATGTTGAAAATTGCTCCTTTTTCATATTTATAATGCATATTCTGTGTCCCTCACATTGCTGTGATTAACCCAGATTAGTTACACCAGATGCGCTTGATTGCACTGAAATATTTCTTTTTCCCTAGAGCAAACATGTTTTGATTGTGCCTAAGGATTGTAAGTGGATGGGTAGCTGGCAGAAAATCCCCAGTAATTAAGCAAGAGTTCAGAAGCATAATCAGAGGATTATTGTCCAACTTCTGCAACCACAGTTATTCGGAGAGACACAACATGTAATTTGGGACAGCTTCATTTTTCCTTTAGCCTTCAGAAATAAGGCTGGCGCTTGTTGCAGAAAACCTGGAAAAATGCATTTAGAAAGCTACTAGCAATGTAACATCAGTGAACTTCTACAACTAGTGTCCAGAGAAGAGGTGAAGTGAGTAGAGTTCATCTGTAAATGGTTAATGTTAAGGCTTTTATACTGCAGTGTGTTCTTTTCTGTACTGTATCCACACAAAGGAATTGTATATACCCATACACATTCACACCGAAGTTGTGATCAGACCTAGCAAGATGAGTAAATCCGTTTGCTATGAGGAGAATGTTTTTCATCACAGCTAGACATGGACATGTTTCTACTGGATTTGATCTCCCAGTCGCTTTTAGTGCTCCATTCCTCCTCAGACACGTGTTGTTTTCTTACCTTTTGTGAGCAGTTAGTTGGCTTGCTTTGGCCCTATCTGCCATAATGTGGTTTTGACAATATCCAGCTTCTCTAGAAAAGCAACCAAAACCTGGTTTTGTCATCAATTGGGTAAGAAGGTGGTGAAAATGAAATTAAGCAACTTGGAGGAAAAAAGTATTTCTGGGGAAAAATAATCTCCCAAAGGATACTTTCAATGTGTAACCTTTGAACTGCTACATATTATACATACCTTAGTAGCCTGTTTGAAAGAGCAGATTTTAATTGTTCCTTTATTTTATTTCGATGAGCCTGGGGTTAAATTCTTCCCGTAAGTGGGATGTCTCACCTCTTACTGAGCTTAGGATGAGGTACCTTTGTGCTAATGGATATTTGGCCAATGCCATAAAGTAACCTTTATTTTATGTTTCTGTGACTTAAATGTCACATTTCTGGAAATGAACCTTTGGCAGAGTAATTTTTGTCCCCTTCTGTTCTTTTCACCCTTCTGTTCTCTCAAAATCTTCTGTCTTCTCCATTACAGTTATCTAACATTTCTTCTCCCTACTGCATCTGATCATCAAAATTCATATAATGTCAGGAGGTGGCAGGGAGAAGTGTTACCATGCAGTTAATTAAGGTGGGCTCTTGTGCCAGTAAGGCAAAATCATGGTGTAGATTAATGTGTATGTAGAGTGTGAAACTTCACAGCAATGTAAGGTACTTTAACTGAGTGAGCTTCCAGCTTCTAGAGTGACTGCCGTGACATGACCTCTCTCTAAGCTGAACTGGCATTTCTACCTTGGGTTGATAGATGGCCACACGCTGTTCCTCTCTAGCTTTTGTGTTTACACATGAAGCTGAGCTGACTTCCTCTGTTGCCTTCAAACTCACAACTGGGAGGAGAATGTATAAAAGCAAAAGTGCTGCAAAGTGTAAGCTGTGCGCACTCTTCTAGTTCCTTCCTGGTGGTGAAATAATTCGCCTTTCCTTGTGAGCTTGACATGTGTTGCTAGGGTGGGTGGCAGTTGTAGCAGAAGAAGCCTTGCTTTCCAGGGTCATCTTGTGAGGTAAAAATGCTCTGCTTTCAGAAGTGAATCGTGCAGTGTGTCATGGGAAGCCAGGACCATGTCATTTTTATGTTCTTTTTCACCTGTGCAGTTTCATTAGTACTCATAGCTCTGCCTCTGCCCATAACTTTACACCCTGACCAAAGTGTTTCACACTGGCACCAAGAGAGGCGGGTGACACCAGCAGAGCTGTCTTCTTCATCCTGGTCATCTGGTGGGAGAGCGGCCGCTGAGCATGGCTTTTCCCATCATGGCTCAGAGGGAACAAATGCGTGGGGAATGAATGGGATGAGCAGCCTGGTCCGCATTGGTGAAGTTTTTATGTAGCACAAACTGCACAATGAAGGAAAAATATAAGGAAAGCTGCGAGTCCTGCACTGTATCTGTGACACTGTATCTGGGGAGGGGGAGGGAAGAGCATTCGTAGCGGGAGGGGTGGCGGGAAGCTAGAAGTGTTCAAATATGTATAATATTTTATATAAACATAATAAGCTTAGTTCCCCTTCATAATCTTCAGGAATGGTACTTTAACACCATTAAGCAAAGAACTGTTTTAGGATTAAATAAATGTATTGTACATAAGGCCATACGTAATCTTCTAAAAATGTCGCCAGACAAGAGCGATGTGTATTACTATATGGGAAAAAAAAAAAGTCCTTAATGCACTGTTATCTCCTAAATATTTAGTAGTAAATTAATACTATTTAATTTTTTTAAAAATTTGTCTTGTGTAGACACTAAAAAGTATTACACAAAATCTGGACAGAACGTGTCCTTTTTAACAGCAATTTAAAGAACTTTTTATATATGTAAGGTAGTAACTTTTCAAATTGTTCTAGTTGTATTTTCCCATGTTTACTATTTGTGGAAGTGTGCCTGTCTCTCTTCAGTTAATTTTTTTTCTAATAATTTCATGCACGCATCTTTCATTTTTGTAGTTTTAATTAGAA